GTGCCTCACAGGCAGCGGTAACATCATAGGGTCCGCCATACATGAAGCCCCTGGGTCTACTGCAAGATAATAGGACACAGAGCTTCATTTGAGTGTGGGCACAGGTGTCGGTACACATGGATCCATGTGTAGATGTGTTCATGCTTGTGTTTGATTTCATGCTTTTGCTATTTTTTGTCCTTGCAGTGGTCTCACTTGTAGTGCAAAGGTTAAAGCACTAAGGCGCTCGTAAATTGCGTTTGAGTTTGAAGAGAAATTCTAAAAGGATGCAGATTAAACATGAAATGTGATCAGAGCTGCCAACTGTCATGCCTGAAGCAGGAAATACATGATTTTATGCTCGATCTCTCGTCGCTGCCTCTTACTCTTCTCCTCTCACTTTGGAAGAGGTCTCACGCTCACAGAAAACACAGCTGACAAAAGGTGGCTATCACGCATGAAGCCGGCTGACTGTGATGTTAATGCTGCTTTCTGGTTTAAAATAGTGAATACTGTTGGCCTGTCACGGAAAATTAGGTTTTAACTTAAAATCACAGAGATGTGGTAACCGTGTATCTGAGGTCAAAGTCCCACGTTCCTGCAAAGAAGAAACTTGGTTTGGTGTCAGAAAAATGTTACTTTGACATGCATATTGATGTAGGTTGTGTCGCCTTTCTCGAGTCAAACTTTTAGCACTATCATCAATCATCTCACTTAAGCAGGTGAGTGCATGCGTAGGTGTGTCTCTGTGTCTCTGTGTGTGTCCCAGCCCACCCACTGAAGCTGTGCCAGAGGCTCATCACATCACAGCGGCAGGGGCATCTGTTTGAAACTGAAATAAAAGTAAAGCGTATGAATAAAAGAGCCACATGAATAAAAACACAGGATGCAAATGACTTGCCAAGCAGGGATTGTCTATGTGTGTGTGTGTGTGTGTGTGTGTGTATGTGTGTGTGTGAGTGACATAGAGAGTGGAGAGTGAGTGTTTGAGTGAGTGAGAGAGTGGAAGTGTTGTATTCACCCCGCATTTGTTCGCCATCCCATCATGGCTGCACCTTAGCTTGAGTGAGTAAGCACGCACGCACACACACATGCACCACACACACATGCACATTTCCATGCTCTCTGAGGTGTATGGTTTTCTCATGCATTAATCAACAGCAGTTTTGACACTTGGCTCCTCAATGAGGAGAGAGAGCTGTTTTAGCGGAGCCAGTTGGTTCTCCTCTTCACTCCACGAGCACTGCTAGCGCTGCCTGGGGTGACTTTATCAATTAGGCCTCTCTGGAAACAGCAGCACCCTCCCTCCCTCCTTCCTTCCATCTATCCTCCTCTATTTCCCTTCTTTTATTTATTCCTCCTCTCTGTACCTTCCTGTCTGTCTTCTGTCCCGCCCTTCTCTTGTGCTTTTCACTTCCTCCTTGTCCATTACTGCTTAAACTTTGTGGTGACATCATTTTGTTCTGCTCTTGTGTCCTCCTCCCGTCCACTTTGTCCTTTGTTACTTCCTCCCTTGTCTATTTCTATTACTTTGTCCGTTCAGATAAAAAATGCAATAGTTCAAAGTCTGCATGTTTAAAATAACTGGTGTCATTACGATCCACACAGTCCGTCTGTTTTATGTGCAGCTCATTTTTTCGCTTGTAATGAAATGAATGCCACGTGATTCTCTATATTTTTGTAATTTTATTGCTGACAAAAATGTGCAATGTGCAGAGCTTTTTCGGTTATGGTTTATTACACAATCAAAGACAGGCAATTTCATCTTGACAGTGTTCCCAAACACACTAGGAAGCTCCTGTATGTGAGCGCTTGCAGCACAGAGATAGACTGATAACTTGCCAAATGTCTAAATTTTGCAGACTGAGTCAACAGTGAAGTGGTAATTTTGCTAATCTATATTTAAAGAGCTGCTGTAGTCCACATGTTTTTTGTTGATTTAAAACATATGTCACTCTAGTCAGTGTGCAGTTGACTAGAGCGAATGGAAATCACATCATCTTAAAGTCTTTTGTTAAAACAGGATATGACTGATTTTGAAGTAACAACCAGCAGCAGTCCATCAGTCTTTGATTGCAGCCTAACGAAAGCGACAATGCAGCACCCATCTGTTACAGGTATTCATAATTGTGGGCATTTTTTGCTATTTCCTGTCAGCCACGGTGGTCTGGGTCCTGCTGAGCTGTGCCTCCAGGCAGCTCTGCACTGGGAAAGAAAGGGCAGGAGAGAACAAGATGTTTGTTGACAGAAAACAAAATAAAAGCAACATTTGAAAATGTGAAAAAAAGGAGAATCTTGAATGGTAAACCCAATGAGATGGACTTGTTCACATCACACCTGTGCACATCAACCTGGAGACATGAAGATGACTGGAGACTAAAACACTGAAGAAAAAAACGAACAGGAAATAGGATCAAGTAATGCTTATTGTATCAAAACCTGTCCTGACTTTGAGAGTATTTCCTAAAACCAGTGTAGTTTGCCTCTGACTAGAGCAGCTGTATTCTTTGTAGTACCATAATAGCACAAAATGCATGAACAGTGTAGTGAATACATTTTATTATCTGGCTGGCCATACTTGACAATGAGCCGCTCACCATTCATCCCTTACATATCAAACCCTTTACAGTATTCATTCTGGAAGAGCAGTTGTCTACCGGACATGCTCCAAGAGTAGCGCTGAAGAGCCAGCATAAAGCTTTGGCAGAAGTGTGTGCAATAATGAGGCAACGCCAAGCAACAGTGCAGTTTAGTTGTTGAGCTGTCGAGCCGTTCCCGTCTCTGTCTCTTACATGTGTCCCTAAAGGGGTACCATACATGTCACCGGTGACATACACTGATGAGTGTGAATATGTGTGCATCGCAGTGGGTGGGATGCCATGTTTGTGACTGTGTTGAAGGGTGCGTGTGCGCATATGTTTGTGTGCTTGTTTTTGGTTTTGAGTTTGTGTGTGTGTTTCTTCTTTGGTCGCGGGAGCTTACAGGCTCTGTGCGCAGAGGTTCCCTAATCCAGTGTTTTGAAATGAGCCCTCCAGCTGTTGTGGGCTTGAGAGACTGCTGCCTTGGAGGAGGCTTAGGGATGATAAGATGCTCCTTCTATCTTCATTCCTCTAGGACCTCCTCTCTCTTTCTGTCTTTATTTTCTTCAATCTTCCTCTGTCTTTCTCACTCCATAAATCTAGCACATTTTATATATCTATGAAGCCACAAGAATAAACACTTATCTCATGCTGCTTGTACAATCGGACATTCCAATAGGGTCGTAACCTTTTGTGTGAACGTCCTCCGATGACAACAGAGGTTTAACATGCACGTGAAGTGAACATTGTGTACACAGATTATGGAAGAAGATCAGATTAGAGTTGTGACCTAAGAATTTATTGTACTTATAATGGTGGCCAGAGATTGTATTTGTCATGAGGGTTAATGGGAGCTCATTAGCTGCATTGTGATGTGCACGCTGATGAGACTGTCGCGCCGCTTAACGTACAGTCTTATTATTGAAACAACTGAGTTACAGTGAGGAATCACACTACTGTAAAGGACACATATTGACATTCTGATGGAATATAATGCCTTTAAGTGAAATTGCTTGCATAATTTATGGCAAGTCTTTTCATGACTATATCTCCTATGAACCATAACTGAGTGGAGCAGTTTGAGCGCTGCCTATCTCCCCTGTGCCAGCAGTGAGCCTGCAGGGCTTGTGGTGTCTGCCAGCAGAGGGAAAGCGTAGGAAGTCGGCAGGTTTTCGGACAGACAGAGAGGAAGCAACAGGCAGTCTGTCAGCTAGAATATGACGGCGATATTCAATACCCAAATTCAGCAGAAATGACACTCAAACCCTGAAATTCTTAGCAGATGCCTTACATTTTGTGACCTAGAAATAATACAAATAACTGGATGTATGGTGGGTTGTTTGATTTATATTTTGTTGTGCGAGGCGCTCGCATTTGATGTCTGGTTTTGACTCCTACGTACCACACAAATGGCATGCTGGTGGTTTCTGGCTTCTGGCAAGATCATCATCTTACATTATCACTAACAAGGACGATTCACAGGACATGATCAATTACCTGTAATCATATCAGTGCCATCATCCTCCTCACCATGTTTAGATAAGATTACTTCCCATTGGGGTTTTTGGACATGGATACATGCTTGTGGGGGAAATCTAACTTAATTTAGGCTGTAATGTCTTTAGCTGGTCTAGAAATAGGATGCTGCATGTACATATTTCTCTCTGTGGGTCTGTTATGGCTGACAGCTGAGTCCAGATGAGGGAAGCAGCTCCTGGGTACCTCAGTTTGAGAGGATAGTCCTTCATACACAAGACAACAAGCTATCATGGTTGTTTAGTAAGCTGCATGAGCCCAGAAAGCAGCAAATAGTATCTGAAATAACCATTACTATCCCCGCTTGTCATGTTCATTTCGTATGTATTGATACAGAACACGTTCCCGTGAAAGCGGCAAGAAGCAAGTTGTTTTAGGGAATGAATAACTCAACAGACAGCCTATCGTGTCTTCCCATTTAACTACTACATATTTCATGTGATCCTTCACAGTGTGGTCTAGATGTTTGTTTAGCTGCTGAGAGCATTTCAAAAGAGGAGCTCGGTTCAGGAATCATGTTTGTTTTGCTGTAAAGACAGAGCGGCAGCAAAGAAAGATGCACCGAGAGATTAAACATGACTTCTTGCGTTTTAAAATATTGTGCATTTACGTGTACATGGCAAAGGTTTTGCTCATTATTACTTGTAGTTAGAGACCTCCCCTCTCCGTCTAGGTGTCTGTCCCTCTGTCTCTATCTCAAACTCTCTCAATATCACAGATACAGGTGAATATCCTGCAGAGGGACGAGTTAGTTTCTCTTACAAAATGCAAAGATTAATACAAGTGACCATACAAGATGCATCTGTTGGGAGTTGTAATTACTACATTTAGACGTCTACTCTTCCTGTTCTCTTATTTTACTTGTTATGCTGTGAAACACTGATGACTGCCTCCTTCCTCCTGCAGTGTACGTGCGGGCGCTGGATGTGACGGTGTCCCAAAGCAGTATCCAGGTGGCCCGCGGCCAAGCAGCCGTCCTGCCCTGCTCCTTCACCACCAGCGCTGCCCTCAACAACCTCAACATCATCTGGATGGTGATACCACTGTCCAATGCCAACCAGCCAGAACAGGTAGAGTGCACATCATTGCATGAACCCACTCAATCAGAGCATTCTTCGAGCTTGTAAAGGTACTTACTGACATGTATACCATCCTACCAAGATGCATCTAACTTGTGTTTTAATGCAATGTTACTGTATCCGCTTCATGTGCATGTCTGTGCTGCTTCCAACACCAACCATACAGTCAAAGCAGGTACACAAGATTTAATATGTACTAAGGTGTGCTCAGATACAGCGCAAAGAGAATTGAAAACCTTGAGAACTGAGGAACTTGTACAATGCATCCACAGAGAGGCGATCTTTGGAGCTTGAGGGACATTTAGCGCATTGAAAGACGGCAATGGCTCTTGCTCACGGTGATGGTCATTAAATAAAACCCAAGCTATGACTCAGAAACAAAGACACAACACTTCTCTTTCCGGTGCATCTGAACGCACCTTTAGGATATTAGTTATGTAAGTTAGATGACTTTATTAGAGTACTTTAGATGTAGTAAGTAGAAGTTAAGATGTGTGTAGATAATTGTCGCTTTCCAAATGTAGCCTGCAGGACAGCAATGTCATGGAGCACTTTTTTTTTTTTTTTATAAAACAATGTACTTCTTGAAGCTCATTTTACTGTTTAAGTTTCTTTGGGAACGTTGGCAGCAGTTTAGATCGCAGACAAAAACACTGCATGATTTAGACTTTACTTTTGTCTCATAGCCGTTAATTTTGTCCCACTGGCTTCTCACCGTTGTCCCTTCCCGGCTTGCTACTCTCATTTTCTTTCTATTTTTTTATTTTTTTCTCACCTTCCCTCCCTTCCTCCCTCTTTCTCTCTCACTCTTCCTCCCCCCTTGCGGGACTTCTGTGATTCCATTTGAGTTGTTTAACATGCAGCTGCAGGCCATACAAGCTCACCTGCCTCCCTTCACTTTGAACCCTGGCGCTGGTCGGCCGTCCAAATAATACAATCATCTTCTGCACTAATTACCTCACGCCCACGACAGGCTCTATATCGCAGCTGTTCTCACCACTCACACACACAGACACACACACACACACACACACACAAACACTGGTACACACACACAAACTGGCATTAGACAGACTGCTGGTCCAAATGTAGTGCAGATCCACATGCATACATGCAGGGCTTGTATATTTACTGGCTTCACACATAGACACATGCAGAGTGCAAAATAACAGTGTGAAAACTGACATGCATGTTTCCATACATCCATAATAAATGCATACATCAGAGTTGTGCTGCCATGTGCACACATGTGGTTAAGGGCTTATGAAACTGAAAACAACAGTAACATTAACATGTATAGGCACTTGCTCGCGGATGAATGCATGTGACTTTTAGATGCCGGGCGAGTGGTGATGGGAGCCGATACATTTAGAAAGTTGCATAACATTCATTGTGTTTCACGCCATACCCTCACACTGTATTGTCTCATGTACATGGTTAGGTCAGTGCTGACGTGTACCTAAGAACACTGGGTACAAGCACAGTGATGCACACAACTTTTAAAGCGTGCATTGCTAAAAAGAGAACATTAAATTTACATATGCATTCAGTGACACATACAATCTATGCAGTCACACACAAGAAGAAACAAATACTGTGTGAGCTACAGTTCCGCGACAAGGTTGTGCATGTGAATTTGGTGAGCTGTCGGAAAAGTGAGTGAAATAAAGTGCTGCGTGGGGCGACAGTACAAGTACAAGGTCATTTTAGAGGAAGAGAATGTCATAAATGATTACAGTTGATGCTAAAAGCCATTAAGAATTACTGAACAGAACTGGGTACACTTGCACACCCTCACAACCTGCGTTAGCACTTTAGCGAGTGCACTCGGACCACTCAGATCTCTCACTCTGCTCAAATTTGAATACCATGTTCAGATTACAAGAGATGATGCTACTTATTTAGCACTGTTAGAGGGCAACGGCACGAGATATGCTGGCACCTATGACTTCGCTAACTTGGCTGTTTGTTGCAGCTCGGATTAATCCTGCTATACATTTGCTCAATGCTTTGACCTGGCATGTTGTTTAAGACTTCACTCAGTGTTTTACAGCCTTGAGCCTCCATGGTTGACTCCACATTATAGGCTATATAACTTAATGAGTCAAGTGTAAGCTTCATATATTATGTATATGAGTGGAGAAAGTGTGCCAGTCAAGTGCACCTGGAGTCTCAAGTAGCTAATTAATACAAAGGACAGATGGTAATTAAGGAAAGACAAAGTTAAATAATTCTATTGGAAGCTTTCCTGTTTTTAAAGTGGATATAATCAATATTTTTATACGGAGCACTAATTTCAACAATGGATCAGATGATGTGTAATGAGGGAAGAGTTACAGGACTCTGAAGCTCTTCTCAGCTCTGCTGAGTTTTAGAGCATCCTTCAGCTTGGTGTTAGTTTTCCAGTTCACAACTTTACTGTTCAGTCTCACACAGGTTCCACCCTCTACTGGACTCCATAGGTCTCCTCCAGTCGTGTGCATGTATTCGTCCTTTAAAATTTGCATAAATGTAGCCGGCCAATTAGATTGTGCCTACCTGAATACATGTGGACCCAGCAGCCCATAAGGCTGCACACACTGCTGTCTGCTATTCTTTTTCTTTTCAATGAATGTTTATTTTGCCCACTGGTAAAATGGGATAGGCGAGTGTCAATTGTGTTGAACTTAATTCCCCTCCGGGCATGATACACCTGTATGTGTGCCTTTGTGACCAGGGGAATATGGTGTGGAGAGCATCTGCTGCTTGTCTTTTGACCCCTGTGAGGTTAGACCCAGCTCTGATTTAGTTTGTTTGTACACCACCCAGGCTGGCTGGTTCCCCCTACTTCTCCGCTTTGGCAGGCTACAGCGGCTTACGTTTTGCTGGTCAGCCTGTGTGAGATAGAACAAAGGTTACGGTATTGTAACCCTTGTTCTATTAGCACAGGAGGACCCCTCTACCTCAGGGCCCTGTTGTTTCTAGGATAGCAGGCAGCAGCATATACTGCCCTATTTACCAATGGGGTCCACTTGTATTCAGGTAGGCACATCCTGATTGGCTTCCCACATTTATGTTTATTTTATTTAGGAAGGGACAGTGCGCATTAATTAACATGATCACTTAAGTCATGTAAATGTGCCAGATTTAGCCATGCAGGCTTATTTTTAAATGCAGTCCCTGGCAGGTTGATGGTGTATGTGTGTATAAGAAAAAGGCATTAAAACAACACACGCACACATAAAACCTGATTGATGACATGTAAATAGAAGGGCGCCTAAGCACAGAGCAAGCGTATAACCATGGACAAAACACATGGCAAGGCACATAAGCAAAAACAACAAGACATAAGCACTATTAATAAAACAATGACATGACGATATAACCAAAAACATTAAGAACGTACTATACAAAGGTACAACATAAAACATAACACAGACCAAAGCACATAGCCACAATCAAACACACAAAAGCACAAAGCAAAGCACATAAGCAAGGACAACAGCACACAAGCACAATTAGCAAGACAGTGACATCACCATAAAACCAAAGCACATTAAGCACGTACCATACAGAAGCTATACAGTAAGAAAACGAAGACATAACCACTAATTTAGATCATGTTTGATTGTGCAGTGTGTGCTTGGAAGAGAGTTTTACCCATAGTGTCCAGAGGAGGGCTCCACTTGTGCTAACAGAACTAGGGTTACAGTAACGTAACCTTTGTTTTGGTTCTGTAATTTACCTGCCCAGCACCAAACAGCAGATAGACAGACAGAGACTAGCTGGTGAACATAGTGGAGCATTTAACAGGTAAAGAGCCATCTGGAGTTGGTGGGGACCAGAACAGAGCTATAAGAGAGTAGATACTGGACTTACATTCAACAGGTGACCAGACACAAGATTCTGAATGGATACTAATGTTGCTAACTGCTGGAGCTATAAATAACCCATCCAGACTGACATGGTGACACAGCTTTAAGTCATGTCAGGGGTCTGTTTGAATGGGTCGACACATGTCACCCCCCCCCCCCCTCCTTTATGACCACCCTTTCAACCAGGGTTGAATGCAGGTCGGAGGCTGCCCAGAGTGGACATTAATCTCTGTCTACAGTTCTGCCTGGCTGTAGCCATAGTCCTGTTTGTTTACACTGAGTACCTGACAAGCTGAGCTCCAGATTACAACACACAGGCACGTAGCTCAACAAAGTGTACCTGTGTGTTTGGGTGTGTATGCATGTTCATGTGTTGTCTCCGTATATGTAATCTGTCTATCATGCCGTTGTTGTTGTGATCAAACAACCTGACCTCTTTCCTCTGGGCTGCTAGGTGTGAGATAATCCAGATAAACACACACATACACACACGCACACAAGTAGACAATGGTTTTATGTTGCCGAGCTGTTGTTTATCCTCTCTAAACTGTTTGCTGGATGTCTTTGTTATTTATGTTCTAATAAAAGCCCCAGGTTCAGGCTCCCCTCGCACCACCTGGGAAACTAATTCCTGAAACTGATTTTGTAGTTTCAATCATTAAAATAGTTGATATATCAAAAATTTATATGCAAGGCTTCGGTGGAGACGTTTCTTCAATGTGATGCGCCTGGCAGTTTAATATTGTCAGTACCTGAAATCCTTTGAAATCCAATTTTGATACAGTTTCTCTCTTTACTTGCTCAAGTTGAAGATAGAAATTTATTGGGAAAGTTTTATCACTCCAGCACTGATGAAAACTTTTTTGCACTGTCATTGTATCATTTCTAAATGGTTTTCTGTCTGGAAAAAAATGAATTAAATAAGTTTCGTCAATTCTTGGAAAGGGGGCCGTGTTGATTTTTATAACTGAAAGAGTAAAAATTGTGCACTTTCGGTGAAATGAGGCTCTGGTGAAATTGAGGTCATAGAAAATCTGTGGTGCAGAAATGATGTTAATCTGTAATTGAGAACATCTGTCACAGTATTTTAGATGATCAGATTCTGATCCTTATCTGAACCTAACAATCTGCCAGAGG